TCCATGTGTAATAATCATTTTATAACATGCACTTGCTTTAGTTTTTAATACGTTTTGCCGATGATTAGTCGCTAATTGAAGTTCAACAGTTAGTTCCGTTTCAAGCTTGTCCAGCACGCCGCCTCGCTTGGCTGGTAGCGCGTTGATATAGAAAAACAACGGATGCGCGTTTAGCTCACGACTAATCGGTGTTTCGTCACTTCGTTACACCTTATCGAGCATCTTGGATGTGTAATTACAATAATTATCTCGAATTCCACAGCCGCACAATGATTCGGTGTCATCGTGGACTGAGAGAAGTGTCAGTCCCGGAAGCGCGGTCGTCAGCGGCGCTTCGCGACCGCAGACGCCGGCGTTTCCGGTACATCCGCGGACGCCATACGTCAATAACGCATCACCAACGGTGACGTTCGCCAGCGATCGCACTTACATGACGTCCAATAACAGCTACAACGTTAGCAACAACAACAACAACGACGCTAGCGGCAACAATAACAATAATGTCGGGAACTACGGCGCCGAACGAACGATATATATCGAAGAACGAAGAGAAGTCTCGAAGGAGACAGGACTTCCACCCAAGAGTCCGACAACACAGCGGTAAGTTCAACGTTTTATTTTATGCATATTTCTCTTTAACGACGCAATTATATATAAAATTGGAAATTAAACATTTTTTAGAATCAGAATATCATGATATTAAAAAGTTTTAATTATAATCCATATATAAGATAAAAAATTATCAGATATTATTAGCTGCGATAATTTTGATTTAAATTTTAGATAACAAAATAAAAATATTTTCAGTTTCATGTGTAACGTAAATTCTTATTTTTATATATTAAAATCGTACCAGGAATATTAGCGATAGGATATTGCACATTCGGTATTGAACATTTTATAAATCTTATAAGAATATTTTTAAGCAAGCCACGCGTAGCGTGACATAACAGATTTCCCTTGAATACGAAAGATCGTAGAACAACAGTAATGATGACGAAGAATGGTATTCGTGATTCTAGACGCTTGAGTTTCCCGGCAAGCGGGCCGCTTAAACAAATGCATAACAAACGATGGCCGCTCACTAACCAATCGGCGTCGTTCGACTATAGGTAATATATACCACGAAGAATCGCGCGAGCGAGTGATCGTAATTGAATATGCAATTAACGACGTTAGAATTAATCATAGCCATGGAGAGCGTCACGCCCAAATGTGCACTATGAATGTTTTGTGTCATGTTACTAATCGCGCGCGTTGATACATCCGGAATGCATCCTATATCATGCCATAAATAATAAATCATTTTTCAATATTATATGAATAACAAATATTTCTATATTGGAATCTTTTTTTATCTTTTTATCAAAATAACATTGATTTTATATGTAATTTATATGTAATTTCATGATCTCTTTACATCTCTTGCATCTTTGATGTTGTTACAAATTGTAAATGTTGACTATACATTATTGAAAAACTATTATTTTATATCAACGCAATTGTAATAGGGAAGTTTAGTACACTTGATTGTATCATAAATCATGGCCACGTATGCTGGCCATATGTGTGTTGCATCTTCGAACTAACAAGAACTCGGTGTTTCCTTGCATTGCGTGTCAGAAACTTCTCACAGAGCAAGTATAATGTATCGACGAAATAAACTTTATTATTGAAGAGCCAAAGTAACATTTTCCATTGTCCTCATTGAGGATCCATTGCAGAAAAATTCTTTCCTATCCATCTTTCTTTCTGCTTCTCGCTAGAAACTTGCGCTCCGTTTAACATAGAGACAAATCCTTTCGCCTTCCAATTCTCTTCCACGACAACGTGTATCACTCTTTTCCAGTATTTTCCTCGCGATGTATAGCACTGTGCACGAGTCAACCAACACACGTTTGCCTGCACGGAAATGTCGATACATTTTCGCGGAATATCTTCTAATATTGCACTCAATTGCTCCTTTTGCAGTAAGGACCGATCTGTTTCTCCTGTAAGCGAATCGACGGTGTCACAGCCTCAGGCTGTTTCGCGCAGTCCTGGAACACCAACTCATGTAGAATTCGCCCAAAGTCCCAAGGTAAGCCTCGCAATATTACGCTACCTTCATGTTACCATTGTTGTTTCACGATGACACGATAATGGACACACACACACACACACACACACACACACACACACACACACACACACACACACACACACACACACACACACACACATTACACACAATTGAATATAATTTAATATAAATTTAATCATAGGAAAATTTGATCTAAATTTATAATTTAAAATTTAATTTTTAAAATTATATCTTTCTTAGAAATTAGAAATAATTTGAAGATGGATATAACAATTGTAATGGGATATTAGAAACCGGGTATTATTAGCTTCATGTTACATACAATATATTTTGATATATTTATGAATAGAGGGAAATATTATAATTATTAACTAAATTAATGAATAAAGTAAGAAATATTTTGGATTTTGCAGAGTGCTACGTCATATACATCGATCAATAGTGGTGGTCAATCTTCACCACAGGTCCAATATTATGGCTCGAGACGCTCTAGCGTTCATTCAAATACAGAGCCCCAGGAGGTGGCCGACGCTAATGTTAAATTCGTACGCGACACCAGCAAAATCTGGTACAAACCCAATATATCGCGAGAGCAAGGTAATTTTTAAATTTAAAACTGTTTTTATTTTTTCTTTCGTCGAAATAAAATAAATTATTTTATTATTTATTATCATATTATAAATGGAAATGAAATATTAATTTAAATATATAAATAATTATGATCAAATATAATGACAATAAACACGACAAGTAATTTAAATTTTATATAATTTTATACAATTATGTAAAAAAATAATGTGCTGCTAAAAAGTACTAAGTACTATAAAATATTTTTTTTAGCAATCTCGATGTTAAGGGACGCAACACCCGGTACATTTGTGGTGCGAGACAGCAATTCATTTCCGGGTGCCTTTGGTCTAGCATTGAAAGTGGCTACGCCACCTCCTGGTGCGCCTAGCAGTCCGCGAGATCCTTCGAGCGAGCTTGTGAGGCACTTCTTGATCGAGCCAACATCACGCGGAGTAAGACTAAAGGGATGCGCGAATGAACCAGTCTTCAGTTCACTATCGGCATTGGTTTACCAGCATAGTTTGATGGCCATGGCGTTACCTTGCCAACTGCTGCTACCTGAACCAGAAGCAGCCGCCAGAGCTTTAGACTCGCCTGGTACTAATAGCACTCAGCAACTTCTCGCTCAGGGCGCAGGTGATTAATTTTTTATATTTTTTTTAAAATTAAAATAGACACAGTAGAAAAAAGTCGCATAAACTTCTTTAATTAACAGTTTAAAATCTCAAATTTTTATTAATTTTTCACTTTCTGCTTAAAGTAAATTGTATAGATTAATTAAGTAAAATAAAAGATTCTGAATTTAATTATTATTTATATGTTTTAAGATATTTTAAGTTTCTTATAAAATTTCTAATAAATTTACTTATAAATCTCTTTTAATTTAAGAAATTAATTAAGAAAAAAAGAAATTATTTTTTAAGTATATTAAATTTGTTTCTTACAGCTTGTAACGTTTTGTATCTTTTCACAATTGACACGGAATCTTTAACCGGACCACAGGCCATCAAAAAAGCTATTACCAATTTATTCGAGCAGAAGCCGCTGCCGGTTGCCACGATCGTTCATTTCAAAGTTTCCACGCAGGGCATTACTTTGACTGATAATGCAAGAAAGCTATTTTTCCGTCGACATTATCCTACAAATAACATAAGTTATTGCGGATTGGACACTGAAGAACGTACGTGGGAGTTTACCAGTGAAGATACTGGAAGACCACTTAGCGCTCAGTACGTTTTAATAAATTGTATCAAACTTATTTGTATTGACAGAAGTAATGCAATTATGCTATATAATAAATATATCTAAATTTCTCATCTTTTGAATTATATAATAATTGAAAAATTTTATTTTATAATGTCAGAAAAAATAAAAATTGTATTTTAATTATTTTAAAATATTGTAATGAATTATTTTAAATATTAAAGCAAACTTTAACGATTTTAATATTTATTTAATACTTATAAATTTAATTTATTTTTTCCAGTCGCTGTTTTGGTTTTGTGGCAAGAAAACCCGCTCACAAATCGGACAATCAATGCCACGTGTTCGCCGAACTAGAACCAGAGCAACCCGCCACAGCCATTGTAAATTTCGTAAACAAAGTCATGATGGGAAACTCCATTGCTAAGGCTAACATTGTCTAAGAATTGCTATTCGCTCGCCACAACTGTTAAAATTAACGGGCACAAACATCATCGTGAATTCGTTAACGGTCTCGCCTTTAAGGTTGATACCGACACATATCTTTAGCGCAACAAAATGCAAAGTCCAATTAAGGGTCAAAATGACACTGAGAAGTTGGGGATAACGGAACGGAATGATCAATATAATCGATTAATAAAATCATTGTTCCGCTGACACGCGGAGAATACACGCGGATCCTTCCAAAGGATTCGCTGAAAATGGCTGCATTAATCATTATCATTAATTCGTAATAAATCTCCGTGCATTTCGTAGCGTTAAATCAGTAGGACATCCATTTGCAAACAGTTGGAACGACATAATAATCAGTAACGCTAGGAAGAGATCGAGGAAGAGATCGCTCTCTTTGGAAGAGAACGAGAGGAGAACGAGAGGCGATAAGTGAATCGATTCCATCCTCGCGTCAATATGCTGTCAGAATAAGAAAGTTGTTGTTATGATTACCGTTACTGTTGTGATTTAACGTAGCGAATAGTAAAGATATAATGGATTGTGTAAGAAGGGTAAGGTGGTCGAATAACTGCATTGGTAAAATATCATACACATATATAATAACGTATTTAATTCGTTTTATTAAAGAAATTATTAAAATTATGACTATTATATGCGTGTATTCTTGTTGATGAACAAAATATTATAAATTAGTGTATACTGTTTATTATTATTTAACAATGTCTAAAGTATTTTAAATTTTAAGATGTATTTTAACGAAATACCTATATTTAATGTTCTTATTCTCCTCTTCTTTCTCTTTCTATATATTTTCTAGAAGAGATTTTGCGAAATTTCAATGTTCATGATTTTGCCACCTTTTCCCACTTATGATACGATCAATCAATCGCACGTAAACTTATCGATAGCTCGTAGTCATAGTTGAAGAGAATCAACCGTGCTCTTCGCGCGATCTACGAAGAGCATCGAACATTCGAAACGAGCGTATCTCGCGCGACACTGAGTACGCCGATTTCGGAAAACATCTATACACTATGCACGTATAAATATGCGTACATTTATATTGTTAGACATATTACATTCACACACATAAATATTACATCGAAGATAAAGAATTCGGTGCTCGCGTTTTAATAACTGCTCTATATGATTTAATACTTCGAAATACTCTTCATTAGCTTTATTAAAAAAAAGTTTTATTACAGATTTAATGAGAAAATACAAAATTTCTAAAAATTGCGTAATCATAAAATAAATAGAATTCTTACATTTTAGAATTTTATTCAAGATTTCTAATTTTGAAAGAAACTGCTATAATAAAATTTAAATAAATCATTAAATAATGCGCGAGCATCTTAAATACATAATATATTATTACGTTATACTTGAGACTCTCGAGTAATGTTTGACAGAGAATGTTACATCGTTTACAGAGTATATTACACACACATACACACACACACACACACACACACACACACACACACACACACACACACACACACATGAC